GGGGGGGGGGGGACAGGTGAGCCTTTGTATGTGATTGCTGTTAAACCCCTGCTCTTGCTTATGCCAGAGGCATCGCGACGCTTACCTACGCCTTATGTTCGTCATCTATGAGAAAGGTCAACTGTTGCATATATACTTTGGGTTACATTTTATTTTCATGCGAGCATTGAGGGGAAAATGTATGCCGCCAATGATTCGACTTCTATTACGTCCTTCTGTTCACCCGGAAAACGAAAGAAGGGGCCATGCATTTGACGAGTAGCCTATAGTGTCAGTCTTCGCACCGAGCAGATGCCTCGTCGTTTGACCCCGGGCATGACCCTCATAGTGTGCTGGCGCCGGGTGGGGTTAGGTTTAGAGGTGAAGGGAAATGCGAGGAGGGGGTGGGGGGTGGGGGTTCAGGTAGGGAGGAAGGGTCGTGGCATAGACTATTAATGTGCGTTTACGTGTCAGAAAGCCGAGGCTGAGCCTGCGAGGAGGGAAAGGGGGGGGGCAGTCGTATGCAGTCAGCCGACTACCGTGCATGACGACAGCCTTAGGATATGATGCTGTCCGCGGCCTCGTCTTGTCGTTGGACGTGCCGCCGCCATCCCTTCCTCCTCCCTTACCGTGGTTTCGGATCCCCGTCGTGCCTGGCAGAGTGGGAAGCTGAACGCTGGAACCCTGGCGCTGCCTGGAGTAGTGGCCTGGAGCTGCCTGGAGGGCCCGGTGGGAGGTGGGCCAGTTCGTCACCACACAATCCTCGCCGCGCCGCGGAACAGTGCCTTTGGGGCGCGCCGGTGCCGCCGTGCTGCCCCCGGAGGGCACCACCCCGGAGTGTCCGAGCTGCAGCCGAGCTGCGTCAGGCGTGCTGCAGCCGGCCGCGCGCGCACCGGAGTGAGCCGACCGGAGGACGCGGGCGCCAGAGGCAGCCGGCAGCCGGGGCAGGGCCGGAGGAGGTGGAGTAGGGAGGCCACCAAAAACTTTCTCAAAACTGTCATAAACTTGAGAGCGGCGGCAGCAGCGAAGTCGCCAAAGTTTTTGGTGGCGGCGGCGGCGGGGCTGGCTGGGCCGCCCCCACGGAAGGGCCGCGCCGCCGCCGAGGAGGAGGTGGAGGAAACAAGGTCGAGGACACGACAACAAGTACTCAAACTTTACCAGCTGTCCGAAAACTAGACGCAACTGCAACAACAACAAGAACAACAACTTTTCGAAAAATGTGTGCCGGCAGGGGGGTTGCGTCGGGCCGCGTTGTCGAGGGTCAGGGCCGCTCCCAAAGTTGCTTGCGAGTTGCCGTAGTTGTTGTTGTTGTTGTGATTGCAGTTTGAGGCGGCCAGCACGCACCGCAGCGCACCCCGCCGCCAAGACGTTGTTGTTGATCCATACCTGCACGGTGGGGGGAGCGTCTGGGCTGGTGCGCTGGGCTGCGCGTGCAGCGGAATGCACCTGCTGCTGCTGCTGCCACTGCTGCTGCTGCTGCCGTTGCTGCTGCCGCCGCCGCTACCGCTACACCGCCAGGTCAACCACCGCTGCAACGAGCGACGTCTGGTAGTACGGCACCGAGTAGGCCGACTGACATGGGTGGGGGGGCGGCCAACCCCTCCGGGCCCAGCAGCGCTCAATGGGGGGCGGGCCGGGG